ACTGCTGAGCGTAGGATCGTTGCGACTTGCTGTCGAGAGCCCCTCGTGCCTGCCGTGTCTGAGATCAGGCGGAGTGACAATTTCATCACACCTTGCCCGTTCATTGTAACGCTCCACAACTGTTCCTTCTCTGTGCATGTACCTAGCACTTTTAAAACAAAATATATTAGCCTACCAGGCTCAGTGCAAGTGCACAAGTTCATAAATGTAGTCGCAAGAATATTTGGTGAGCGAGATCTGGTTGGATCTAGCCATCAGTAGCATGTTTCAGCCAGTTTTAGACTGCTTCTGAGCATCTACAAAAATACCATACCGTCTTTCACCTTATATATGTCATGATATGGGTATCATATTATAGCATGAATACAGAGCTATCTTAAAAAATATTCCCAGCACCTCCGGAGGCAGATTGAAGTAGCAAAAGCAAATTAATAAAGCAGGGAACACTAATAAACGAGGGTGCCATCATAGTAGTCTAGTAGATACGCGGTCTTCAAATTTCATCACGTATGGATCAGAAGGTGCACCGCCCAAAGCTGCTGCTACGCTTTTAGTGTCTCGCGTCGACGTAAGAGCCATCGTGCGCGCTGCGGATCAATCGATCCTCCGATATAGATAGGCTATGATAACATCAAGTTGCCCGGAAGGGTTGCTGCTCGGCGACTTTACTCAAGCTGTAGGAAGCTGCCAACTGCATATCACGCCATGGCGGAAGAGAGTTCTACTTTGTTGACACGTCCTACGAAGTATAATATCGAGGACTCCAACATTGCATTGTTAGGGTCGGATGTGCGTTCTCTCATCCAGCTCGAAAGGTCTCGATGAGATATTAACCGCGCAGCTACCAGATAGAGAAAAATGTCAGAGAGCACGCTGGTGACAAAGAACCTGCATGGGAGTCTGCGGGCAAAGAGCTTGGGACTCAGATCTGGCGGATCGAGAAGTTTGCCGTCGTCGAATGGCCCAAGGCGCGCTTTGGATCATTCTACGATGGAGACTCGTACATAGTCTTGCATGTGGGTACAATATGAGACTAGAAGAGACAAACCGCACTCATTCGTGTCGAATTGTGTAAAGACATACAAGCCAAGCCCAGACTCGCAAGAGCTGGCTTACAACCTGCACTTCTGGCTCGGTTCAGAGACCACCCAGGATGAGGCCGGCACCGCAGCCTACAAGACGGTGGAGCTAGATGATCGTGAGTACGCTTCTGTGACAATGAATGGCTACCACTTTCTCACAGTGGCCATCCTTTGCAGATCTCGACGAGAAGCCAGTCCAATATCGCGAGATTCAAGGATATGAATCCTCCAAGTTCCTTTCCTATTTTCCGCACTTCCTCTGTCTCAAGGGCGGCGTGTCCACCGGCTTCCACCACGTCTCGTCCACGCCACCAGACAACACCCGCAGACTGTACAGGGTAACGGCTTCTGGCCACCAGCTGGTCGTACGCGAAGTGCCCCCAGAATCACCTAGCCTCGTGCCAGGCGATGTATATGTCTTGGACATGGGCAATAAGGTGTGGCAGCTGAACACAAAGGGTAGCGTCGGAAAGGAGAGGTTCAAAGCTGCAGAATTTGGCCACTCGTTGGCCACCGACAGGAATGTCACGGAGGCCTGCGAGGTCACGGTGTTCGGTGGGTGCAATCGAGAATGAAGGGTCGGAGGGTAATCTAACTAGAGTGATGCAGATGAAGGCGGACACGGCGCTGGCATCTTCCTCTCCGAGTTTGGACTGGAACGCTTGCCTTCCGGTCCTGAGGCACCTGGGCCTGATGCCAAATCGCCAGCACTGTACCGCCTGTCAGATTCCTCGGGCAAGGTCGTGTTCGACAGTGTCGAACCGGCTGCGCAGTCGAGCCTCTCGTCGTCCGATGCTTTCCTACTGGACGACGTTGCCAATCCCGGCGCTCCGGCCGTCTATGTCTGGCTTGGCAAAGACGTATCGCTGGCCGAAAAGCGTCTGTCGCTGCAGTACGCGCAGAACTACTTGCATGGCAGAAATGAAGGGACCAAAGGACATTTCGCCATCAGCATTGTGAAGATGAAGGAAGGCCGCGAGACTCAGGCTTTCTTGCACGCGCTGGGTGCGTGAAGTGCGGCTGTGTATATGCGATGGATCAAACGGTTACTGCGAAAATTCAGGAATTTGGAACCGGGCGTGAATGTAGTGAATAAGCATTGATTATGAGCTAGTGGTGATGTAGTCTAGCCTCGTGCAGCATAGTTATATCTCCTCCGGCATGAATTCGTCGTCCGAGTCTGGGGACCACCTATGTGATGCAAATATATCCAACCCCCCCTCACTGCGCAATATTCTAAATCATTATTCAGTACAATTGGCATCTGATACTACCGACCCGTTAACTTACTCGTCAAATAACGCAATTGTGTTAATGTCATTGCGGTCGACATCGGGGTCATCCGCGAGCCTCCCCATGGTGAGGGCGCGAATCATCCGTTGTCTGTCTTCAGGATTTGGTCCGGGGAGCTCACGGACCTCTGGGGGCGTGAGAGGCATATCAACGGCACAAGGGGCGTTTGGGGTGGGGCTGTGTACGAAGATATGTCGCTCCACCCCTGCTGTTACCAGGTACGGCCAATGTGGATGCCAAAGAGTGGAGTTGACGATGGACTTGTGGCCTGCAAGACCATGAGGTCACGGCTAACATCTTCAAAAGGGGAAGACCCACCGGTTAATCGACAATGCGGACGCGACAGTTCTATAGGAATACATCTTTCGCTCGATATCGTAGGTGCAAACCCTGCTCAGAAAGTTTTGGTGGGCTGTCTGATCAAAAACGGTGTCTGTACATACCTATTGGTTCGCCCGCCAGCGTACACCATCGCTGCGAGCTGACAATCTCCCTGCTTTCTCGAAGGAGCGATTCCGGTGGCAGCTTCCACACGTATGCACAAAAGTCGTCCGAACCGGCAGAGTAGTAATCATCTTCGTCCAGTCCAGGCCCACCAAAGGACCCATGCTACCGAAATACGGTTAGCCAAGCATGATGCCAGACTATGCCAGACGTGGTCCACCTTGATCGTACAGCAGTTCGCATACGTTCGTTCCCCTGCCGGTACAGGACTGCCGTCTGGTCGATATGTTCCTGAACACACCGCCAATGGGTATGGGTCTGCTATGCTGTATATTGTTGGGTAATACCCTAGTAGGGTTATGGCCAACTTGGAACCTGATGGTACTTAGTCATGAGCTACGCTTCTGATTGAGATCAATACCTGTGCGATCGAAGGTAACGCTTCCAATCTCGGGTTGACAAAGGTGGCCGACGGACGGTTTCGAAACTGAGGTCACGAACTCAATGATAGAGAAAAATGAGAAACGAAGGATAGCCAGTCTCCAACGCAACACACCTTTTGCACTATCCCTTCACTCGTTCTTGAATGCCGTGGACCAAATGCCATGCGGACGTCCCGCAAGCACACTCCCGTCTTGTCACTTGTCAGGAAGATGTGAGGGATCGTAGGATGGTACTGGACGTTGCTGAACTCGGCTGTCTGCTGCAGAGTCGCTTGTGCTTTGGTCATGTTGTTCCCGGCACGTCCATCGTGCAGTATAACGCGGCCATCTTCACTGGATATTGATTAGGTGATGCCAAGCAGTGCCAAATCTCAAGCAGTGTACCTTGCGCTGAGGAAGACATCGTCCAGCTCAGGGTGGCACGAGATGGAACGGATGTTGTCCTGAAATGGTCTACATCAGCAAGATATATGGCACCGATGCAAGAACCTACCGAATGATTCGCATACGAAACGCTGTACCGTTCAGGGTCTGTGACAGACGTGGACAGGCGCGACATGTCAAACTTATAGATCATACTGTCCGTATCTCCCCTGCTCGAATAAGCAGCTGTGATCACGGGGACATGCGGTTGCTTACGAGTAGAGATGACGCCTGGAGGCGGAAAATGCGAGAGCGAATATATTCTCCTATAGAGCTGAGACGGTCAGTACCTGAGTGTGCAGAACATCCATTTCCTTGCCCTTGGTCCACGAAATGAATGAGATGGTCCAATGAGATGGTCTTGATGAAAATCCCACAGGAAGATATACGGGTCTGTAGACGATGTCAACGTACTCGTAAGCATGATGACGATGAAGCGTACCGTCTCCTGCGCTCACTAGCCATCTTCCATCGTTGGAGAATGTAAGGGAATTCACGCAAGAACTATGGCTAGACAACTTCCTGTGTGTTTTTGGTATTTGAGTTCCCAGCCAGGAATGGCTGTTGGTTACAAACCTCGAATACAGGAACCCGCGCCCGAGTAGGTCCTCAACGTGGACCTGTCTCGAACGGGTCGCGTAACGCAGTTGAGTATTGGTATACGGAGTCGCAAGTTTCGCTTCAAGTTTCGCGTTGCGAGATCCGTCTCTCGTCATGATACGGAGCACTTTGGACGGGAGCAAGCGATATGGCGCCACAAATCTACGCGTCAGGAGATGGCGCTTACTTAGAACTGAACTCAGGTGTAAAATTGTAGCAGAGCCAAATGGACGAGGAGATGTAAGCGCCGTTTCCATGAAGAAAGTAATGAGATCCCAGACGGATTTACGTAGAAACGATAGCGATACAGATAAAACCCGGGAACAGAGGCCAGCATAAAAGAGGCAGATATACCGCTTTTAGACTCCGACTTGAGCAAAGAGTACTGTTCGACAGGTAATCCAGTTTTCAGTGATTTCGCATGTGGTGCCAGCATGGAAAGGTGGGACAGCGCGAGATCGTAATGCGGTGCCGCCATAGCAGGGATCCTGTCTGCCGCACAGCACTAACGAGGAATCCTCTCCCAAGTCTGCAGGCGAGCTGTCTATTCCTCTTCCTCTTCTCCAGCCTCCTCCTCCTCCTCTTCCTCCTCAGCCTCTTCCCGTTGCGCCTCGACGACCGCGGTGGCGATACGGTCAAGATCCCGCTGACCGTCTTGGCTGATGCGGCGGCCACCGTTGTCAGACTTCTCGAGGACGCCAATCTTCTCGAGTGACTGGCAGACTTTGCGCTGGACTGACGCAGAAGCGGACGCGTGGTGTGAGGGACGGTTACCCCGGCGCTTGGCGCCACCGTGAAGCTTGGTTAGGGCTCCGATGCCGACATCCTTGCGGAGGTAGATGTGTCGTGCGACAGCAGCTGCATCGATTGCATCCAAGCGATACATGATACGGGTAGGAGATGCGCAGTAAAGTGGTTATTATCTCTCCGCTTGCTGTGTAGAACATGCTGGGTACAGACCTGCACGGACATAGTACCAGTCAGGGTCGTAGGGAGCGAGTTCCTTGAATGCGCCAGTCTTGACAATGTCCACCCATGTAGGGACCTCAAGCTTGCCCGAACGCTTGAGGTGGGAAGCGTATGCGGCGATGAAAGCCTCCGCGCTGCAGGCCCGTACGTCCGTCAATATCGCTCAAATCCGCGCGGATTTTGGGCTGGTAGCAACACACCTGATATCACGTACTCCCGGCATTTTGGTTAAAGAGAGAGATTACCTTGCGAAACGGAGGCGTAAGGTACGGCGGTCACGACGTTAACGAGGGTAGCGAGACACAAATTAGAGTTCAAACTCAGCCATCCTCTTCCGGCTATTCTGTGCAGTTTGCTGACTAAGAAGCGCCTAGCGTCTTTTCTCCTCTTTTGTTTCACAGCCTGATGGGCGCCTACCTTCTTTCCCTTGCTCGCGCTGTTTTCGCCGTAGCTCGTATTTCTCGTCCAGGCGATTCAGGTGAAGTGTCCAGCAACACAATGTCTGTCCGCCCCTACTGCTTCTTTTTCTTCTCCATTTTTCCGTGGTCATGTGCGCGGGCCATCATTTGCTGAAGATTGACAACTCTCGGCGCCTGGGTTAAGAGGCAGTCTTTTCAGGGTTCCCACGCCTAATCATTCCGTCACCGCTCACTCCCCAGTACGCTCAGCAACGACGAATGTGCCCCGCCCTGCAGGACAACCATGCTCTCAAGTGTCCTTGCTCGACATTCGATAGACGGCTCGCGACTGTCGTGGATCTCCCCGTCGAGCTCCTGATCCAGGTTTTCATCTCTCTCACCGAAACGTCTGGCGACTACCCCTTAGCTCCGCTCCTGCTGTCGCAGGTCTGCCGCTTCTGGAGGGACGTTGTACTGCATTTGCCGCATGTGTGGCGATGCATATTTTTACACGACACCCGCCCGGTCGCCGTCTTACAAGCGCAAGCTAACCTGTGGGCTGTGCGCTCGCTGACACATTCACTCGATATACATGTCCACCTCACCCATGGTGACAATCTCCTCCCTCTGCTATCCCCTCTGCTCGCGCATATCCGGAGATGGAGAAGGTGTAAGCTGACGGGGAAGATAGAGGAGGATATAGACTTTGGCTCGTTCTCGGAAGAAGGCTCACTTGCGGTACTGGATAACCTGTCCGTCAACATACGAAGTTTATTCGAAACGGAGGAGGCCTTGGTCGCATCGTCTACTTCGAGAGCGCCCACCTTCGACCATGGCTCTCCCCTACATCCCGGTTCTCACACATCTCGCTTTCACCGAGTCTATATGAATGCGGAGGTGTCCCGACTTCCCCTCACACGCTACATGTCTGCGGTAAATCTTCGTAGCCTTGTCATTCGGGAGACCTCCCTAGAGGTGGTTCCAGACCCTGTACGTCTGATCAACTTCCTCTCCTGCTTCCCGGAGCTGCGGGTCCTTCATTACTACGGCTTCCCTCACGAGCCATCACCACCGAAAGACCGTTCCGCGGCACTCATAGCCCACCTCCCACGCCTACACACGGTGGTCCTTCGTAGCATCTGCGCCGTACGTGCAGTGCTCTCGCATATCGACGCACCAGAACTCGTCGAGTTATATCTTGAACACACAAACATGGAGTTCGAGCTGCATCATGCGGCTGCGTTCACGGCGGATCCGGAGGACGGAGACAGCGAGGACGAGAACCATGACTTTTCGCAGTCACCCTGGAGCGATCATGCGACTGGTATGGGCCTGCGAAGTCTTATTCGACGCAGCAAGCCGCCGCTGGAGGTGCTAGAGATGGACTATGCAGACATGCGCACCAAGGATTTTATGTGGTGTTTCGACCATCTGGAAACGCTGCAGGAATTCCGAATTGTTGCGTCCGATATGTCCGACAAGGTCATCGCCCTCTTCGCGCCCTTCCGGCCTGGCCTCGGCTGTCAGTCGTTAAACGACCTCGATGTCGAAGAAGCGCCGTCTGCGTCCACTGCGGACAGCACCATTCCCTTACACGTCAGGTTACCGAAGCTGTCTGCGCTAGAGTTGCGGAATTGTCAGAGGCTCTCAGGAGATGCGGTGGTCGACGCATTAGGCGCGCGAGTGCGATTCACGGACAAAGTCACCGACCGCAATGCGTACGCAAAGCTTTCGGACGTTGCGATTGTCAACTGTGCGAACTTTCTACCCCGACATGTCATGACCCTTTCGCCTGTGCTGGGTACGCGGTTGAGGACAACAGAATGAGGACTGTGGTTAAGCTAATGTGTTTATTCTGGACGACTGCATTGTTATCTCGGAAGCATCTCTACATCGTGACAGCTGTATCTTTAGCCGTAGTCTAGTTCGTTTTGGAGTGTCGATAATCATATCGAGTCTATGTCCGTGCCGAGTGCGAGTCTCAAGCTCTCAAGCTCCAAGGAGTCCAAGTCGAGCCTGACCTGGACTTTGGAAGGCCCAGATGACCTTGTGCGAGCCCGCCCCTGCGCAGCACCCTCAGATCAACGATGAACAGGCTTTCGCAGTCGTCCAAGACAATGTGCAGGTGCTGTATACTAATATCAAGGGTATGGCCACTGGTTTCGCCTGCAAACATATATGTCATCCGGAAAGCACATGTTTCGTCATAGGACTTATCATGGCGGACATGTATTTGGAGCAAATTTGAAGCAGCCTGGGCAAGTCTTCCGTAGCCTGACCCAGACCCTTTCCCCTCCGCCCCCTGGCTCGCCGAGCGTGGTTTGCACACTATATAAACTTCAGGTCGTCGTCAGCATTCTGCACCACACGCTTCCCCCGATAACACTCAACACATCTCCGGCAGCTTCTCCACGATGGCCCAATCCCAAGCTCAGGCGACGACGCAGGTCGTAGCCAACCTCCAAGCAGAAGTCAATCGTCTCAAGCATGAACTCGAGACGATGCAGGTCGCTGACCAGATTCCCTCTGCGGGCCAAACTTGCACGATCGCGGATTATCTCCTCGAACGACTCGTGCAGCTCAAGGTCACGGTGCGCGTTCTCGCCCTTCCTGTACGCCTTTCTCGCGTTGCTGACGATTTTTCAGGACATCTTTGGAGTGCCTGGAGACTTTAATCTCGGTATGTACCACTCCAAGTGTTCTCTCCGCGCGTTCTGATCCAGTCTCAGGCTTCCTGGACTACATCGAATCGCACCCCAAGCTCGAATGGGCAGGAAATTGGTATGTTGCTCATCTCTGACCCTAAGACTCTCTACTTATCTACGTAGCAATGAATTGAACGCGGCGTATGCGGCCGATGGCTACGCCCGAGTGAAGGAAGGCAGCCTCGGCGTGGTCGTCACAACCTTCGGCGTCGGCGAGCTCAGCGCGACCAACGGTATCGCAGGTGCTTTCTCAGAACGCGTTCCCGTCCTCCATATTGCTGGTGTCCCTAGCACTGCGCAGCAGAAGAACAAGCCCATGCTTCACCACACTCTCGGCGACGGCCGCTTCGACGCGTATCACCAGGCCGCTCAGCAGTTCGTCATCTCGCATGCCTCGCTCCAAGACAAGTCCACCGCTGCTGCTGAGATTGACCGCCTCCTCACAGAATGTGTCACCCTGGCACGCCCGGTGTATCTCATGCTCCCAACCGATCTCGTTCACGAGCGGATCCCGACAAAGCGCCTCCAGACCCCGCTCAATATTGAGCCGCCACAGAACGATCCCGAGATCGAGAGCTTCGTGCTTAACGAGATTATCAAGCTCATCGAAGAGGCAGAACGTGATGTCGTCATCCTCGTCGATGCCTGTGCGATCAGGCACAACGTAAAGAAGGAAGTCTTCGAATTCGCTGAGAGGACACATTTCCCCGTTTACTCTACCCCAATGGGCAAGACTGCGATTCCTGAGGACTACGAACGCTATGGTGGTGTAAGTACTCGTTGATTTCTTGCCCTGCATCGTCTGAATTTTCTGCAGATATATGTCGGAACGATCAGTCGACCAGAAGTCAAGGCGAAGGTCGAGAGCGCAAAGCTTCTCATTTCCGTTGGCGGTCTGAAGAGCGATTTCAACACCGGTAACTTCACATACGAAATCCCGACTACCCGGACGGTTGAGGTACGCCGTCGCACACTAGCTTGGTTACATCGTGCTCACTTCGAGCACCTAGCTTCATTCTGATCACACTCGCATCCGCTTCGCCGCATACCACGGCATCGGTATGAAGCGCCTGCTGCCCAAGCTTACGCACCGCATGCAGCCCTTCAGAGAAGATGCCAAGGCGATTGAGGTCCCCAAGTTTACGCTCCCCGTGCCGCAAGAGAATAATGACACGATCTCACACCTCTGGCTCTGGCCACGCGTCGGACAGTTCTTCAGGAAGGGTGACGTCATTGTGGCTGAGACTGGCACGTCCAGCTTTGGTATCCTTGACGTGCCCTTGCCTGGCGGCTCAGTCTTCGTGTCGCAGATCCTCTGGGGCAGCATCGGGTGGACCGTCGGCAGCACGCTGGGCGCCGCCATCGCCGCGCGCGAAATAGGCCTTTCCCGAGTCATTCTCTTCATTGGCGACGGCAGCATGTAAGTTCACCTAGTTCAGTTGTCAAGGTGCATACGCTTACGATGTCTCTAACAGCCAACTGACGGTGCAGGAGCTCTCGGCCATGATACGCTCTGGCGTCAAGCCTATCATCTTCCTGCTCAACAACAGCGGGTACACCATCGAGCGATACCTGCATGGCGAGAAAGCGCGCTACAATGACGTCGCTAACTGGTAAGACTTCTTTTTTCTTCTTGTGTGCCTGCCTCCGTACTGACACCACGTGACCAGGAAATGGACGAAGCTGCTCGAGACCATGGGCGGCGTCGAGGGCGAGACCTGCCAGTCTTACACCGTGAAGACCAAGGACGAGCTCTCGCAGCTGCTCGACAACGCCGAGTTTGCCAAGGCCGACAAGATCCAGCTCGTCGAGATGCTGATGGAGATGCACGATGCTCCCCGTGCGCTCAAGGTCCAGGCCGAGCTCAGTGGCAAGGCGAACAAGTACGTCTCGATGGGTGTCAATACCGCGAACGACACCTTGTGACCCCGCCCCACAACGGGTGCTGCTGTGAAGTCGCAAAGTGTCAAGAAAAATGTTTGAAGGATAGATTGTAGAGATAAACCGGAACGGACTGAGAGAAATCTTGTATTGTTCCTCTGTACGAGTCCACAACGCATTGTGGAATGGCTGTATCATGTTTGTGTTGTACCAGAATGTCAATAGCAGTCAAGTACACGAAGCTGACAGGCTTGACATTGTCATACACTTCGTCAACCAGTAGGGAGTTGGTGATCAGCGTCGGCGTTGTGGCGTTCGGTGGAAGCCGGTAATGTCTTGGAAACCACTCCTGCTCTCCTCCCATAAACAATCGGAGCACTTGCAAGTTGCGGAGCGCGTGCCGCAGCATTTTCAACATAATTTTTCCACCAGCAATAGACATTACAAAGGGCAGCGAGTCACGGTCGGCATTACATCCCAACGCTATGGCAGCCTAGGTGCAGTCGTAGTCCATTCCTATTCATATAACCCTTCTGGAAGTACACGCGAGTAATCCGGTCATTGCAGAGGAGTCCAGGTGTCTCATCATCAGCTATCGTACACGTCCACTCAAGAGTCTCTCGTCTCCGGGGCGCAGGTCCACGCTCAGTTCGTGGTCGCGTCGGTGAACGCGGTCGTCGCGAGACCGACCTGGGCGTTGCCGGTGTCGAACACGCTGTAGAAGCGCTGCAGGAACGCGAAGCCATCTGGCAGGCAGGTGTCGGAGTCAGCACGTGCGTGCGCGGACAGAGGAGCTAAAACGGTGACGCACTGATGAAATCGAGGCCCTGTCCGCTCGGGCTGCCGAGGTCGGCGACGACGAGGTAGATGCTGTCCGCGTCGCCGCCGAGCTCCGAGTTGAGCGCGCGCGGCCAGATCTGGGCGTTCGCCGTCAGCTCAAAGGTGGTGCCGCCTGTGCGTCCGAACGTGTCAGTCAGCCACGTGGCAATACGAAAATTGTACGAGTCCTGGCGCACCGATGTTGAAGAACAGGCTCTGGAGGTTGTCGAACTGCTCTTCGGTCAGCTTCAGGAGGCCGGTGGTCTGGTCGTTCGTCGCGCCCGTCGCCTTCTGGTACGCCTGGAAGACGTCCGTCGCGAGCATGAGGAGCGTGGTGCCGGTGTCGACGATGCCCGGCGAGCCGGTGACCAGGGACTGGCTCTGGCCGTATGAGATGTCCTGGTCGATGCCCCAGTACATGCTCGCGGGCGAGGTGGAGGTGATCGGGACGAAGCCCACGTCGCTGGTGATCCTACACGAGCGAGACAAGTGTCAGTGTGCTCGCGATCTGCGGGTGGGCCGCGGTACGTACTTGCTCTGGTCGATTCCGCCAAAGGTGAGTTCGCCGTTGATGGCACCGTCCTGGGTCGTGGGCTCGTAGAAGATGCCGAGCGAGTCGGAGGTGATCGTCCCCTGCGAGAACAGGTTGTCGACGACGGTCGGGACCTGGTCCTGGCCAGAGACAGTGTTCGCGGTGAGGTCTGTGGGACCGACACCGAGGATACCGTCGACACCTTGGAAGCCCTGAGCCTGGGAGGCGACGCCGATGGACTGGTTCTCGATGACGAGAGTCGGGCCGAGGGTCACAGTGTCGGTAACTGACATGTCAAGATGAGAGAGGGCGTGGGCAGGAATAGCCATGTCGTCACTTACACTCAGTACCCGAGAAGGAACCAGAGCCGTAGCTAACATTCTGCACGTATGGTCAGCAATGTATAGACGATTCAGGTATTCAACAGCTGTACGCACCACGCTGTCACCGGTGGACTTGCTGGTGCTAGTCTTGACATACTTCTGGCTGGCGCCGACCCAGGTGTTGGAGCTGCCTATTAGACGTCCACATCGTCAGCGCGGACAGGAACGAAGGTCAAAGTTAGTACTCACCAGTGTCAATAAGGAGCGTGTAGCTGGTTGCGGGGCTGCCGACACCAACTGAAGCAGTGTAGGTGACACCGGCATCGGTAACGTCAACGCCAGTGCCGTCAGAGGACGGGGCGGTACCGGTGCTGCCACCAGAGCCGGTGCCAGTGGTCGAGCCTCCGCCAGAGGCCGCGTCACTGCCGCCGTGGTGGCGGTGGTGGTGGTGGTTGCCGTGGCGCGTGCGGAACTCGCGCGCACCGATTGGGCCATGGGGGTGGGCTCCCTGCAGAATCTTCTGAGCCCTGGCCCGGTCGTGGGCGATGATGTCCTTGCCGCGACGCGCGGTGAAGCGTCCGACGAAGGGGATAGCGTTCGCAACGGACATTGTATCTGTTGTCTATACTCGAGAGATCGGGATGTGTGTTTGTGAGTGTGTGGGGGAGAAGGCAGGTTTGTGGGGAGCGAAGAGGAGAAGCCAGCGAGCCTTAAGTAGGGAAGAAGGGGCAATGCAGCCTCTTTCCGGTACAACCGTCGGTCTGCTTCGCCACTTGACGTGAAGTGTGCGATATGTCGGGATTGGGGCAAGTGCTGCGACGAAGACAGGCTGACGTATGTGCGTCATGTCGCCAGAAATTCTGGTGAGAACGGAGTGGATCATTGTCCGAAGGTCCAGAGCTGTAAGAATATCACGACCGTTATGCACACGTCTAGGATCGAAGCACGAGCACTGCTCTATCCGGTTGTACCTTCCCATCGCGCACTATCTGCGAGAGATGCAGTCGGGTGCTTGCCAGAAGACCCGAAGAGAGATAAGAAGGGAGATGTCGACCATGCGCTTCGCTGAGAGGCTGAGAGCATGCGTCATCCTGAGCTTGTCATAGAAATGAGGCTATACTCACTGTCATGCTTCTCATGGCTTCCTCTACCAGGTCCCACAGCAACACCAGGGACGTCAGTGACCCTGAGCTGGTGTTCTGCATCGTTGGGGATATTGGATGTTCTCCACGGATTCCATCTCCGTAACCACTCAGCCTGAACTCGCCAACTGCAGCTCGCCGAGCCCGGTGGATACCGTCCTTCTCGAACGCATGCAGGCATCCGCTTCCACAAGGAAGCCGGCGGCTCCGAACTACTCTTGCCTATTCCGGACAGCCTCCTGCAGCGCCGATGGCCGCGTCACGACAACCTCGAGCCTGCTTTCGTTACAGAGGAGACTAGCACCGGATAGTCACTTCTCACCTCATTGCAGATCTCTCCCCGAGGCACGACATCATCCTTTAGTGGCGAGAACGGTGGTCATCCTCGTACAGCACCCGAAACGAACTTTCTTGCAGGTCTCGTCATAGCTGCAGTCATGGAAGTCATATTAGCTCTGGAGCCCAAGCACGGTGAGAGACCGTAGAGTTAAGTTTCTCCTTTGCAAACAGGAGTTTCATTGATCATCTGGCCCCAACAGCTGCGTGGGAGCTGATGGAGTTATGTCAGTCCGTCTCTATCTTTCGAGAATCTGCCACTCACTTCTCAGAACACATACGGCGCAGACAAATCGCCGACAAAAGGTCCCACAGCGGCTATATTCGCAGTTGCCTGCAGAAATACGCTGCGATCGTCCCAGTGCTACGAGCGCAATGGGTGCAAGTTATGCGACAAATGCAATTGGAGCTGCAGAGCCAGCTATAGCGTTCAGTGAGGCCTGCACCTTTCGTGACATCATGCACTCCCAGTGATTTACTCACCCATGGAAGACCCGTGTTTCCAAGTAAAGGCACATTATCCCACCACCCACAGTGGTGACTTCGGGTGCCTGAAGATAGTGCTGTTGACCTCTTGCAGTGAACTTAGATGCGAACATGTTCGTTCTCAGAGTCTTCCGTCGAGCCAATACATTCCTCTGACGCCACTCTGGTGGTCAGGCGACTTCCTACAAGCTGAGCCGAGAAGCCGAGAGGCAGAGTTGTATTCTTGTGTAGAAGGGAAGTCGTGACCTCAGCGTTTTCTTTGTTTCAACACAAGACGTTATCTTGCCGCCGGAATTATCGGTGGATAGAATACTCCAGCATCGCCGGCGTGGCGGCGTGCGAGGAGGTGTTGAACGTGTCGGTTGCAGGCACATCAGCTGTTTTTCAAGACGTGATCTGTCGGTGTCTTGGGGCATCCGCGATGCGACACCTCTAGCACACTAGGGCTCGGAGGTTTCTCTGGATCAAGGTATGTACCTATCGATCCAATACTGGTCAGACAATTGTCAATAGTTTGACATGGCGTCAAGACACAACAGCCATGTATACAAATACCTTATGACTTTCAAGCTCTCGCTCGTATTTCATCAAAAACAGTCATATCATGATAGTTACTACGCTACATAGTGCGTCTGTGCTACACAAGAGGCCCACACTCCGTACGATTAGAGGTCCTGCTGCCCTTTGTGTACACCACAGGCTGCTTCTTCGGCTGCCAACCTTGCGACGCTTTCATCTGTGTTGATGCGTCCCGGAAGATGGCGACGAGCAACTGGACTTGTCGCCCAGCTTGAACTGCGGACTTCAGAAAGACACATGGCTCAGCCCTTGACGACGCGTGTTCGCTGAGTCATGTGCTCGCATCATTCAACGCCGCGAGAGAGGAAGGTAGCTGGGCACCTGCGAAAGAGCGATAATGAAAAAATGGGGGAAAATCATGGTGACAGCACAGGAAAGAGGATGTCACGTTTTGCGCCCTCTGGCGCACTAACGGGCAGAGCCGCGAGGCGTCTGCCATTTCGATTCGAGTCGCGTACGCGAAGTGGGCGTATTTTTTGCTGCAGGTCTCCGCACTGGCCGGGCATCGGCTGTGCGCGCGAGCGGCGCTGGGACGAGTTAACGCCCTGGGAAGTTAAGACCAGAGTCGATTAGCAAGCCGGCTCGAGAGACACGTGTCGCTCGCCATAGTAAAAAGTCGGAACGCCTCGGTGCGGGTACGTCTGACATCGAAACCTCACCTGTACGGTGTGGTTGCTAAGCGGTGCCATACACGATTGCAGTATGTTCTGCTTCGAGCAAGCGTACCTGTCATTGAGTCTAGTTGAATTTGCGCCACATAAAACACAATGATAACGCACCAGAACCACTCATGTCGTTTACTACGCCGAACAGTTGGTAACAGTGGTGAGCTCATGCCGCGAGACAGTGAACAGTCAGACGTCTGCTTCGCCGCTGATATTTTCCAATCTCTCGCGGATAGGAACACACGACTCGATGTAAGTATAGACGGAGGCCGTGAGTGACGATGAGACGCGACAGTTGTGCAAGAGGAACAAGCCGCGGACATTTGATGGTCCAAGAGTCAGACCGTGGGAATCCTCGGGCTGAGGGATCGTCGGAGATCCAAGCTCTTCCTCCTTTTGTGCTGGCTCGGACAAAGCCTTGAGGGTTTGTCTGGACGCGCTGAACATGCTGGAAGATACAGTGCCCAGCGTCTCTGGACAGCTTACTCCAAACGGTTTGGTAAACTGCAGATATTAACCGTCGGGGAACGGGTGATCAGCGTCGGCATTGTGGCGGAGGTCGGTGATGTCTGGAGACGATCCTTTCAAGGGACGTCTGCACTGCCAGTGTTGGAACTGACCCCGGGTCTGACCGGTCTGACCCCAAGGGTCAGTCAAAGGGGTCAGAAGGGTCAGTCAATCACTGACCGGTCAGTCGGCTATTGCCGAGGTCAGGCTTGATTTGTCATGCCGTTTATGTGAAGTCGTTGTCGACGTTACAGCCCTCGAAGATGGTGGCGACAACACATTATTTCTCGCGAGCTTGTTCTGGGTCATCCGAATTTAATTCCTATTGTAAGTTTCTCCCCCCCCCCCCCCCCC